CCAACGCACGCGGCCGGCGTAGCGGCACCGACTACGGAAAGAAATAAAACTAGAGGCGGAAAAAAAGTAAGAAAAATAAATATGACGAGTGGATTATCGCGCGACACTGGGCCGTTGGCGTCGGCGGGCGCCGACGGGGTCACCGGGCAGGAGTGTGACTGGCATGATTCAAGGAGGAGAAAACTCGTCGAACGGCGCCATAAAAATTTACGCCCATTCAGTGCGGGTGAATTATCACACGGACGTCCCAAAACGACGCATTAGCCTGGACAAAGGCGAGGAAGAAACACACGGAAGGGCGGACGGACAGACAGACAGACAGACAGACAGACAGACAGACAGACAGACAGGGGAAGAAAGAGCGCAATGCATCGAGTGCGGGGTCATCCGAAGGCGTAGTTCCAAGGCAAGACGAATCATTCATGTCAACAATCACTGCCCCGCCGGCCCCCGGCTCTCCGCGGCTCTCCGCGGCTCTCCGCGGCTCTCCGCGGCTCTCCTCCGTGGCTCTCCTACGGGAGGACTCTCCTCCGGGACTCCGTGCGCTGCCCGTCCGGAGTGGCAGGTGGAGGTCCGCGACACTGGGCCCACCTGCCACGCGTCCGTCCCCCGCGACAGGAATTTGACAGCGCATCGACGGGGCGGCCAGGACGCGACCCTCGCAGCCCTGCAGACGGGGCCCGCCTGGAATGCCGGCAGCGAAAAAAAAAAAACAACAACAACGAGCTGCAAGTGCGCGCGTCTCGAGCATCGACTGTGAGTTGTTGCGGTTTTTTTTCATTCATTTTGAAAAATATTTTATATATTCCACTCGCATCCGGCGCGGCGGGCAGGTAGGTACGTACACTCGTGCCAGTTTGTCAAACACCGCGTCCGTTCCCGCTCCAGCCGCTTCCAGTGTGCCTTCCAACGTCTTCCAGCCGTCCTCGGCGGCGGGCGGGTTGCGGGAGGTCAGGCACCGTCAGGCACGCAAGCAGTCTAATTAAGACACTGTCCGTTCCCCGGGCATAAAGGTTTGCATCGGCTAGCGCCGCTCGCGAGATGGATTTTAATTAGTGCTGCGAGCGCACTCACACAGACTGACGCACACACGGACAGACACACACGCCGGTGCTCACAATGCAACGCACCAACACGCGAGTGACGACCAGGCCGCCCCGCGCTACGACGCTCCACACGGAGAGCCCCCCCAATGCCAATGTTACGCGAAGGCCGAACAGTAGAATGGGCCATTTGGCCGCGAGAAAAGAAGAGTCTGTGAGAGGGATTTTTTTAAACTTTTTGTTTGTTTTTTTGCTTTTGTGTTCAGTGTCTGGCAGGGAAACGCTCATGAGTGCGCCTGTGTAAAAATCACACGATTGAACCCCGACAAAAAATTGATGGGAAACTGGCGAGACCAAGTTGTCCAGCAAACCAAACTAACCGTGTGCGTCCAAGTCCGAGAAGGTGATGGCTGAGGACGGCGATATAATCCGATATCTCACTCACACACCGACGACACTAACACAAACACACACAGACACGGCGCGAGGGAAGACGCGCGCGGCAAGACGCGGTGCGGCACGCGGCACGCTCCACTCCACTGCAAGGCCCGCAAGGTGCGACTACCGACTGGATGGACCGGCGAGGCGAAGCGGCGACCGGCACCGCGGCACCGGGCCGCGCCAGCCGCGCCGCGCTACGCCCTTCCCTCGCCGGTCTGTCCGCCTGCCCGTGGGCCGTCCGCTCGCCCGCGGCACCGCGGCACCGCCAGGGCCAGGACCGGCAGGGCGCCCTACACGTGCTGCTGCAGGCTGCTGCAGCCGACGCACCGCCAGGCCGCCGGCCACCGCGACAATGCACTCTCGAAAAACGACGAGAAGACGACGACCACGACGACGACGAAAAAAGGCAGTCCACTGCAAGACCGCGAGCGCGCGCGTCCGCCACCGACACACTGCTCAATAATGCAGCAGCAGCAGCGGCGGCCAAAAACTGGACGAAAGGAGCAAAACACGGCGATGGGAATAAAAGAGTTAAAACGGCCACATTGTCCTGCCAGCGCTGCCGGCAGACCGATTCCGAGAGTCGTCTTCGTCGCTCTGTCTCCCTCGCGCTCGCGGGGCGTGCCTTGCAGTGTAGGTGCGAGAGGGACCGAGAGGAGCGCAGCGCCAGTCCGGCAAGCCCTTGGGCAAGCCGGCCACAGAAATGATCGGCTTCTTTACAAAAGACGGCGGCCACCGAGGAGACGAAACAAAAAGCAACTATTCACGCCGCAATCATTTCCGGTGGACACGGTGGCGGCGGCACCGCCGAGATGAATCCCCCCGAGCGTCGTCTGCTTTTGTCCTTCCCTCCCCCTCCTCCCGCCGCCCCGCGCACGGCCGACTCGGGAATATATTTTTACCTATACGAAAGCCCCCGCCATCGCTCACGCAAGGCGAACGACAACGCGGGCATTGTGTTTTCGAGCACTGCGTCCGTCCCAACTTTATGCGTCTTTTCTTTCGCACAGCATCACTGCGTTTAATTACGGGGCAGACCGCAGGGCGATGCGATATCCCAGTGCATCGCAGTGGACTGCGTTGCAGGTGCACTCCCAGGTCCATTCCCCAGTCGTAGACACGTGGGCGCGAGTGCATTGCAGTGCTGCCGGCCCGTCCAGCCATGGCTGCGGCCCCAAGTGCGATTGCTTTACAGTGCCATGCCACCGCAGTAATTCCTTCGCCGGGGGCCAGTGTCACTTCCTCCAGACATAACGAGGAGAGCGCGCGCAAATTCCAGCCGCCAGCGACTTGCTCCAGAAAAAAAAGGACAAAATAAGATTAAAAAGAAATTGAAGTACGAAAGCTTGATCCGACGACGCGGCGACCGGTACACCAGCATGTCGTATGCAGGCGATGCAGGGCGGCGGGGCCGCGCGGGGCCGTGTGCATGTACCGCCCGCGGTACCGCCTGATGTATCATTTATAATCGGCATAGAAATCAGAGTGGTCACTGCGGTGATTTACCTGCGAGTGCGGTGGGGTATTATTCAGGCACCTGAGTGAGGTACCCGTCGCATTGGAAAGTCACCGGGGGGCGGGGGGTCCTTGTGACAAGAGACATGCTCGCCGCGGTGCACTCACGGCACACAATACCGGCAGTACAGTCAGTGCAAACACTCCGGGTAATCACGCAGAGAAAACCAAGCAAGTCTCGAGGCGCGGCGGTCAGGTCGGCGACGTCCAGCCGGAAGCAACAAAACCTGCAAAGAATCCCCCTTTTTCCTCAACGCGTCGAGCAGAAGAAGGAGGAGGAGCAGGAAAAACAGCAGCTTGCTCATTCATTCCGTTTCACACCACCACGACGACGGCGGTGGGCTCGGCGAACTGGAAGTCGTGAAAACAAGCGGGGCGGGAAAAAAAGGGGGGAAAACAGCGAGTGACCTCATCCTGGACCGGCAGGAGGGCAGCAGCAGTAGCAGCAGCGTGCCGCGGGAGTCGGACAGCCAAACCGGGACCAAAATTACAGGCCGCTTCGGCCGGCGACGCGCGGCCACGCCAAATCAATACCAGGCGGGTCACGCCGGCCCGGCCTCCCTCGGGCACCCTGGGGTCTACCCTGGGCTACTCGGGTCAGCCGGTCCGGGACTGTTTTTCCCAGGCAGGAAGGAAAGGCAGAGGCCGGCCGGCTGGCACGCTGTGCGAACCTGCGCGCCTCGCCGTCGACGCGACGCGCCGTGCATTAAAATCCCCTGCCGCGTGGCCGCGCGTCGGCGACCCGGGACCCGGGTTCGAGCCCCGGCGAGGGCAGCGCCTTTCGCGCGGAGACAAAGACGGGCCGAAAGATTGAAGCAGCCGGGTCGGAGCGGAGCCGGAGCTAAGCCGGAGCCAGGCCACAGAGTGGAGCGATGGAAAATGATTCCCCCCGTGGCCAGCACGGCCAGCACGGCCAGCACGGCCGCTCCAGGAAAAGGAACATTACCAATGCAATCAGACTGACAGGCAGGCAGGCAGCAAGCACGGCGCTTGGGCAAGTTGATAGCGAGAGGCCCGGGTTCGAGCCCCGCCGCCGCCGATTGCGAGGCTGGTGAGCTATTGGGGCGGGACTGGCGTCCCGGGCAGGTGGAGGAAGGGTTAAACTACTCCCCCTTCCCCTCTGGTCATCGCGGCAGGCGCGGCGGCGCCACATTTTTCCAGAGACAGCGCCGCGGACTACGACCACGACCAAGTTATTACGGCCATCGACGGCCGGCCGGCAGGCAGCACTGCTCTGTCTCTCTCGCACCTGAACGGGGCGCCCCATGAGCTCGAGAGGGACAGGCAGTGCTCGGGATCAGCCTGCCGGCCAGGTGAACCGGAGAGCGGGAGAGATTGAACCAGACAGCACTGCCGGCCTGGGCTAGCCTGGGCCGGCGGACCGGAGCGAGGGGACCCCTCCCCCTCCCCCGGCGTCGGTACGGTCGGTACGCTTCAGCCCGCTTCAGCCAACCGTACACAGAGCGCTATCGGTCAATCATGCTCCAGTGGACGGCAAGAAATCAGAAATCGGCGCCGGGGGGAAAGGGGGCGGCGTTGTGACGGCCTCCGCCGACGTTTCGTCGCTCCGAAGCTCGCGGAGGTCTCTGCACGGACGATAGGACAGCACCGGACCGTTGCCAGGAGGGACGATGTCTCTGGCCGCCTGGCGGGTAGGCAGCCCATCGTGCGCGCGAACCCCCGACGGGTAGGCGACCCAGCGGGTGGGCAACCCACCGGGTCCCTATGGTCCCTGAGCGCCCGACAGGTAGGCAACACATTGTTCGTCCAAGCGCCCGACGGGTAGGCAACACATCGTGCTTCAGGGCGTCTTGAGTCAACAACACACAAACCACTTGAGCGATCATTGAAGAAGCATCGACCGCGTCCGTTCGGATAAGGATCGCGATACACATCGGTGTAAGAGAGACAGCACTCACCTACGGGAAAGACGAAAAAGCAAGTCAGAAATCGAATTTCACAGGTGCACTTCACTAGAGGACTCGGGCCGAAAGGACTCACCACTGATTTCTTGAAGCGCCGGCTCCCGCTGCGCCGCAGGGTCCCTCCTCGGATGTTGGAATCGTCGAGCTCGACGGTGGTGCCGTCCGCGGAGCGGCGCGTCAGCTCGCACAGCTCGGGGACGGGTTGGACCTGTGCGGCAGAGAGAGACAGACTCTGAACGCCACTGAAAATACGAAGCGCGCCGCCGACTGCCCAAACCCCCAACCTGCCCAACCTTGCGCGGCTTTGGCAAGATTTTCACTTGGGTAACACAGTGCACAAACTCGTGGGAATGACTCATGTCGGCCGCGGTCGGCCGCTCGCGGCGCGACTAACACCAGGACCAACACGACCTACAACGGGCCCTGCAGCCACACGCAGACTGACTGCCCGGCCCGACAGACAGTCTAGCCGTCTGACTGCCAACAGGAAGAGGTCCCTGTTAGCACTCTGCACCGCTCACGGAGCATGGAGCACGGGCACGCAAGAAAAACCCCATGCACAGTCTGTACATGAGACAGATGGGAGGGGCAGCACACTTCTAGAAAATTTCACAAGCAGCATTTTCAGGAACACTTACCTTAACAGTAACACTGGTGCCAGAGGACTTAATCAGTCCAATGATTTCTTCTCTAGACTTGTCGTCAACAGGTATACCATTGACTTCGATTAGCCTATCACCGGGAAGGAGACCAGTCTCATTGTGGTGCTGAACAATAGTTCCTGGTTCAGCAAATATAACTGCTTTGGATCGCTGAAAATAGAACAGAAATTTTAACAAAAAACTCCATACAAACACAAGACTGTTAAAATCAGCCAACAGTTGTTACTCACCACAGTGACACCTTGGGGTGTCTCTTGCCGCTCAACAATAATAGCACGCCTCAGAGAAAATCCAAAATCACTTCTGGGCGGAGGTTGCCTTTGGATGGTTAGTTCACGGGGTTGCGGCAAGGGCACTGGAGCAATAGGAGGTAGTGGTAAATCTGAACAAACATCTTCAAATGTGCTGGAGGCGTATTTACTCCAACGCCCACCAAAGCCATGAAAGCCCTGGCTTTCACCAACCGGTGATGTACTAAATGGTGGCGTAGCAAAACTTGAATTGGTAGTTGTGTCAGTCAGAGAATCAGCACTGGGACTTAAGCTTGCTTTTGACAGTTTTTTCTCATGATGAGACGATTCAACATTCAAATAATTGTTACTTTGTGCATGATCTGCACTTCGGACACTCATGGGGGACATGAGTACTTCACTGGAGAAATCTGGGCTAGGCGCAGAATTTTCTGAAGTCAAAAGCACAGACAGCGGACTGTTAGTACCATCCCCATCAGGAAAGAGGTACGATGTCGAAGACTTGGAATGTGAAGGAAGATTTTGATATGTAATGACTTCATTCTGGATGGTGTTACGGACGAGAACCATATTAGGATCCGTGTTGCCCTGGGTCTCATTGGGACCACCATCACTTGCTAAGCTAGAAGTACTGGATCGAGGGCCTTGCTTCAAAATGCCGCGCTTGGGAGGCCGTGGAGGAAGTGGTGGAAGTACTTTTTGCAGCAGCTTGGATGCCTGGGGCTGTTGATTCAAAGAGTTGGAACTTGCTTCTGAGCTATCACTTTGGGTCATGTCAGCTCCTCTTCCCCAAGATGTTCCACCCATGGTGCTCGCATTATATGAAGACAAACTTTGCCCAAGAGGAAGGCTTGCAGTCCGCTCACGACGGCCATCAGTTTCAGAATTTTCCCTTTCAGGACTTAGTCTCTCCAAATCCCCAAAGAAACTGGCACTGTAGTCAGCTGTAATTCCACTGGGTAGTTTCTCCTTCTCCTTTCTTCTGCCACGAAGCTTCAGGGAACGCCGCACCTTGAATGGGTGAAAAAGTTAGTCAATTGCTTCAGAATGTATTTATTTTTAGATTTAAACTAATTTAACTTACTTCATCTAAGCGTAGTAGCTCCTCTGCAGTCATGGAACTGCGATCCCTCTTCTTTCCATCCTTGCGTTCTTTTTGCTCCCTCTTTTCTTTTTTCCGCTTTTCTTTCTCTTCTCTATCCATAGGCCCAGCAGGGCCTTTCTTCATAAAGTTGAACATGGTGGTGTTTAATTTTGGGTGTTACAACACTGAATCTGGAAAAAATTAACAAAGTCTTTGGATTAGAGTAAGATTTTTTTGTTTTCAAAAGAATAGAATCTGAACACTAGATATTCTTCTACAGTACACCAAGAAAGAAATGTGAGAATGACACAACAAGCTGAACTTCCTCCACTATGAATGACAGATAAGAAGCTATCACGGTGCTGGAAACTTCCAAAGGCAAAGTAAAAAGTACAGAATAGATAAATGGAAAAGTACTCTATAGTGCATGGAGTTGGTTCAGAAAAGACAAGTATATCCAAAACTAGAAGGAAAACTGTGGTAAGTCCAATGAAATTTTATATTGATAATTTTAGTTAATAGATGGGGAAAATATTCATAGTAATCATCTACTCCCATAGATTAAACGACTGCATTATAATGACTACTCACAAAAACACTATTGGTAAATTAATCTTTTACTCTGATCTGTGGCAAAAATATATTCATTCACAGTCAGAGCAGATGAGAAATAAATATTTGTGACAGTAAACTTTTGGTCTTGACACTGACACATAACCTCTAATCAAAACAACTTTAAGTCAGAAAATTCAAGCACAATGGCACGAATTTGTGTATAGCGAAACTGACAAAAGCACAGCTGTAATAGTTCCTCAACAGCTCCAGAATCACCGGGGGACAGACAAGTTTCACCCTGGAATGTGTCCGAAACCCAGATAACCTCTCAACCGAAACGTAAACACAGGTGAAACCGTAGAGGTGCGCTGTCAAACTCAGAAGTCTGTCACAGCCGGAGGGAGGAAAATCCACTTACTTTCCGACAGCAAATCATACAGAGAAGCCAGCACTGTCACCTCCACACACCCAACAAAGTTTGGCATTTTATTAACCAGCTACGTACCTGAGTGAATGAACTTTGGTGATGCTCCAGGTACCTGAAACATAATTGTTACACGCCCCTATCTGTGTAACACGATCTACGGGCCATTACACCAACTGTGGTTCGAGAAACTTTTTCCAGCACGCGATCTCACTGAAGGGATTGACGCATCGTCAAGTAAATCGGATCAAATCGAATTTGTTTACGAGCGAAACGGGGTACAGAAGACTTGCTCCAGCCTGCACATAGACCGCGCTCCAGGCGAATACAGCGCCACGCCACTATCGGCAGCGCGGTGTCGACGTAGCCGGCGCCAAATTTTGTGGTCTTGCTGACGCGGACGGACGCCGCGGCGCGGACGCGTGGCGGAATCGGACAAGGATGGGCCGGGTGCACCTCGAGAATGCCATGAACCATGAACGGCAACCGGCGACGCCAACGCCGCCTCGTCGCGGGGCCTCGCCTGCAGGGGGCGTCGCGGCGCGCGGCGTGGCCGTGGGGCGCGTTTTCAGGGGCGGGCATGCGTACGTGCGTCGCGGACGCTAGCGGACGCCACCCCCGGGCCGACGCCCAGCCACCCCACCTGCCTGGCGGCTGGTGCCCCCAGGACCCCCATCCCCGCTCTCGCTACCCGTCTCCGGGTGAGGGGAGAGGGGCAGACAGGCGGCGGGGGTCGCCCCATCACGCCCCGCCGAAATTCTCAGTACTTGGGGATGGGTAGGGGTGGTTCACACCCCCTCCCCCAAACCCCAGCCCCGTACCCAAGTACCATGCATGCTGCCCTGCTGTATGCTCGAACGACCTGGTGACCCCACAATTGATTAAGCATCAGGTACACCTGATGGCAGTGCCCCCGTCCGTATCCCACCCCTACATTAGATAGGGGGGTTGATTCTCAGCGGGTCACAAGGGATGTTCGTCAGAAAATTCCCACAATCTTTTCTCAATGAAGGAACAGCTGTTAAAATTTTTATAAAATCCTGTCAACGTTTTGAGAGTTTTCGCAGTGCAATGTCCACTGGCCCGGCCTTCCCTCGCGGGTGCACTACACGCCAATCCTTGTTCGTGACCTCGCAGTCCAAACACAATCGCTCGCTATCACTGCGTTATCTGCCGGCTTCGTCCACGGTAGTCCACGGTAACCGCTCTCACTCTCAGTGTACCATTCGACAATTCACACCCGGCCGGCATCGGCATTATCGCACGGCACCTGGGATCGCGGGTGTGCCGTGCGGAAGGGAAGGGGGAGAGTGGGGGTTGAGACGGCCAGACGGCCGATGCACTTTCCCTGCGAATAGCGCTTCGTCGTACCAATAGTCGGCGTGACGTCAACATGACGTAAAGAAGGTGGTGTGTTGACGGTTGTGCAGGCAGCCGCATGTTGCATTCATTTTACCGTATTTTCGATCATTTTCGCTGGTATGTTGCTCCGCAGCCCATGGATTTTGTAGGACCGAATATGTGGAACGATTTGGAGTGATTGTAAGGCCGAAGCGGATGCGTTGTACCGACGGAACAGTCGATTCCGTGGGGCAACAATGAAGTAGGACGTCTGCTGACAGGTGTATACATCGCCCGACGACTCACAGAACTGCATCGCCTGGTACCGGAGGAGGCACCATGGAACGAACGACGAATTCGCTGCAATGAACTGCGAGGCTGAGACGGACTCATCTCAGCCAGAACCGCCCAGAATGCTGTCAAAGTCTCAACGATTGTTCCTTGGGTTCATCATCTTGTTGCTTGTTGATATTATTTGGGTAGCTTCGTCAGAAGTCACCAAGGTAATTTGCCAGACTTTGCTGTCATTTGCATGCATTTGCCATTTTTTTCGTTTTCAAGCAAGTGCTTTTATAGATTATTTATGATGTAGAGGTTAGTCTTACGCATACAAAGGCTCGAGCCAGTATTGTGCCATTAAATACTCTCTTTGCTTGGGTTTCTTCTCAACTTCATCCTGCATGAATTTTAAAAATTCAGTTTGGTTGTTGACAAGCCTTTATATGCTGTGTGTTTTTTGTTACAGTTCATCTACAAGAATGCTGATTATCAAAAGCCATTTTTCAGCACCTATCTCAAGACTTCCATGTTCACCATCTACCTTTTTGGTCTATGTGTTTGGCCCCAGTGGCGTGCGCAGCTCTATAAGCCTCCAGTTTATCAGGTATTTTATTTATTTTTGGGAAAGAACTAAGTCTTATGTTGACAAACATAATGGTACTAATGCTGTAACCACTCTTTCTCAGCTGCTTGACCCTATTGCTGATGAAGAAAGTTTTTACACTGAAGCAACCAGCAGCTTGGTGTGTACTAAGACCTAAAACAGTTTCATTTATGAATATAATTTGCTTGTTGCTATAAAGGTTTTTCCTTTTTTTTTTTCCTTCAGAGTGATTCAACATTTGTACCCATAAAATATGCTGATGCTGGTGATAGAGGCTCTGGAGCAGATTCAGGGACAGAAACAGGAAATGATGCATCTTCTCGCTCTGTTCGATTCAGTAAACTTGCGGAGGTATGTAGCATTGTTCTCAGAAGTCGTCAAAAAATGCTGACTCATTTTTTATTTACTTCTTGATTTAATGTCGTACCATAGGTTAAACAAATGTCTGAGGAGGGTGCTATGGAGGCTCTACTGGCTCGCTTGTCCTACCAAGCCACTCTCAGAGCAGGAGAAGCAGCCAAACGGGCTGCAAATAGGTTTCCTGTTCGCCGCGTTGCCAAAATTGCATTTTTCTTCTGCATCCTGGTAGGCATTTCCATCGCTTACTACAAATCACATTGTAATTAAATAGGAAAGATGGAAGGTGATGTTTTTAAAAATTTCTATGTTCATCCTTAATTTTGTTTCAGTGGTTTATTGCAAATTACACGTATCAAGTAGCTCTTGCTCACACAGAGGCTGGTATGGTGGCCTTGTTATCCTGTACGTCAAGTTTGGCTACACTCCTATTAGCTTCAGTTTTTCCCTCAAACCAAGGAGACCACTTCACATTGTCAAAATTTGTGGCTGTGTGTATAAATTTGGTTGGCCTGGTAGGTATCCTTTTAAATTTTGTTTCTGCAGTGTTTTTTTTTTCTCTATCGATCCAAGTGACTAATCTCTCTGTTTCTTAACTAGGTTTTGGTTTTTATGGCTGACCACTCTTTTGAAGCCAAACTTCCAATAGGAGGCATTTACGCACTAATAAGTGCTTGCTTTTATGCTATGTATCTTGTTTTTCTGCGGAGGAAAGTAGATAGTGAAGATAAAATGGACATTCCCATGTTTTTTGGTAGATATTTACATCTATCTGTATTATGTTATCTCAATGTCTTATGGTCCTAATTTACCAATAATCTTTCTCGCAGGGTTTGTTGGTTTGTGGAATATGTTGCTTCTATGGCCTGCATTTTTCTTCTTGCACTACAGCAATTTAGAAAAGTTTGAATGGCCCAATGAGAGACAGTGGGCATATCTTTTATTGAATGGTATTGTTGGTACTGTTATTTCAGAGGCTTTCTGGCTGTGGTAAGTTGTCTTTTCTTGAACAATATTTTGTATGTTCTTACAGGATGCTGTCTCTAATCTGGGCATTTGTTTCTATCTTATTCTAGGGGATGTTTTCTAACTTCTTCCCTCATTGCCTCTGTTGCTATGAGCCTAACTGTGCCCATGACAATGTTGGCTGATGTTGTCCTAAAACAGGTGCACTATTCGGTGGTTCTGTATTTGGGTGCCATTCCTGTGTGCCTAGCATTTCTGGCAATCCTTCTCCTTGCCCATTGGGAAAATTGGGATCCCTTGGGTGATTTCTTACACAAGTTGTGCTCTAGAGTCTTTTGTTGCCGTGTAGGACACACGCATAATAGAGCAATAAGGTATTTATCTCAGTTTAATTTTAAAATGGTTTTACATTTCATTTAATCTTTTTAATTATACTTTTACCTTTTTCTGTTTTTCAGAACACCAGACTCTGAAAGTGAACAGCAAGCACTTATTGGTATAAATGATGGTGACCATGAAGCTTAAAATCTCATGCAATATGTCACGTTATATATTTCTTGAAATACTATTTTGACTGAATGAGTTGAGGAAATAATTTAAACTCCTACATTTTCATCTGGGGGAGTCAATTTTGGTTCAGTTGTATTTATCAAACCTTTGCAACTTCTTTGTAGTTATTAGTTACTTCTCCTGTGATGAACTGTTTAAATGTCATTGTGTTGTAATGTCTTAGATAGTTAGATTCTTCTATTTTGATCCTCAAAAGTTGCTGTTGTTGTTCTGTGTTGATTGTGCTCTGTGGTTGCATTTCAAAAGAAATGAGAAAAAAAAACACGGGAAAGGCATTTAATTGGACTATGTATTCTCTTGTGAGAAGAATTTGTATTATGTCATCCTGACAATGGTCAATGCCTCTAACAAGTATTTTTTTCAGAACACTTCATAACTTGAAACATCATGTATCAAATTAAACATCAGTCTTCCATTTCGTATTCATGTCCAAGAGGCAAAAATGAAAGTATTACCATGATCTGTCTTGATTCAATGGTACACATTGTTCCTCGTGCAATATCTGTTCAAAGGAGAAAGTTAACTGAAGACAACTGTCTTGCCGTGTTTTTATGCTTAGTATTGACAATGTGCAGTATTGATTTTTGTGGAAGCAAAGAAAGAATTGGCTATGAGCATTTATTTAATACCTGAGTATTGGTCTCAATTTGTCCCTCAAATTGGATCTCTCTCTATTGAATAGTAAGTCTTTAGAATGGTAAGACAGCAGTATTATGTCTATTCGTAAATACCTAAGTCTTATAAATTCTCTAGAAAGGTTTTTAGTAAATGTTCTTTGTTATTTGAATTTCTAGACAAGATGAACATTCCTGTTTTTTCCTTAAGTGCGATGCCACTTACCAAACTGGTTTTAATGGGGGAATCTTTACTTATTGTGATTATTGCGCCCCTATGAAGACAGTTCCAATTTTTATGAATGAACGGTCATCTTTAAAATTGATATTTTTGTATGGCCGACTGTCTTTTATGCCAACATAAATAATTTAAGAAACCATCTTTCATTACATGGCTGTATAATTCAGAACTGTTTTAGGTCCCTTGTTACCATAGTTATGTAATGTTACTGGTTAACTTATAGTGAAGCATTGTGATGCACATGTTTAGAGTTCCATTCCCAGGAGAAAAATCAATCCAGAGCTCTTGCACTGTGAATAATTGTAATAACAAGACCTTACATTTCTTGACTAGTCTCTCAGCTATTGTGATTGCTATATTTTTGCTTATTAGTAAATACTATTCTAGTGTTACTTGTTAGTAGCTTAGGAATCAGAAACAACAGATGGACCAGTGATTCTTTGAATTGAATATTGTGATCTTTTGTTCTCCTTTGTGTACTGTGAAGCTGAGCGACACTATAGATTTTTGTTGTTTGTTTGTATTATTGTTGTTAAAATTTGACTTATTTGTATTTGAAGCATCTTGCTTGTTTTGTTTCTAAATCTCGTTTTTGTTATCAGTTTCTGTTGATTTTTTAAGGCCAATTCTATTTCAGTATTGTAGCTTCATGGGAAATTCTGGATAATTATTGGGATGGGTTTGTTCTCTTAGATTTTTTTAATTGAACATTCCAAGTTAATTTTTATTATATTTTTACCTAGCTTGCACAGTTTTGATTCTTCTTTGCTGTAAAAAAGACACTTTTTATTACCAAATTATAAGACATCGAAAGTGGTTCTGAAAATAAACATTGTTTTTTGTTTTGTTTTTTTAGACTGCCGACTCTTATTGATCTCACTTAACACAAGTTCAATGTTTTAATTAAATTATGTTAAAGCAGGGATCACATATATCAAACAATTTATAATATTTACAATGGCGATGTGCAATATCGTAGGCTAACTCGCCAGCCTTGTTACGAATGTTTACTGAGATTTTAGGATTGGAGAGAAGAAGGAAAAGTGTCTCTCTAGCTTCAGCATGGCTTGAAGCAAGATGAAGTGGAGTTTGGCCTGCAAAACAGAATAGATTCTAAGTGCATAAACCATTGAAACTTGGCAGACCTTATTTTGTTTTAAAATTACAATTTGCATTACCTCCATTGGTTAGAGGATTCACCTCTGATCCAAAGTCCAATAGTAAAGCAGCGCAGTTGAAATTGTTCCACTTGCATGCTGAATGAAGGGGTGTCCACCCATCACATGTTCTCGCATTTACATCAGCACCTTGTTGGAGTAAAAGCTGAAAATGTCCACAGGATTCAAGAAAAGTAAATCAATGATCACATTCAAATTTATCAGTATCATATTCGATGTTGAAGAATGTGACACAACATTGAGGCAGCAAATGTGGGGACTGTACCTTCACAACTTCAGGATGGTTTGAGTATGACGCCCGGTGAAGGGGAGTGTAACCATCTTGATCACGTGAGCTCACAAGTTCAGGGTTTTCCTGAAGCAACAGTTTAATGACATCTATTTTACCCTTCTCGGCTGCTGAGAGGATTTGCATTTCTGGGGAACCTGAATGGTCAAGAGAAAGGTTGAAAGACAGAGTTGAACCGCACACCGGACTGAAATAGCTTATTCCAAATTCCAAAACATACCTTGGGATGCAGAGTCATCAACATCCTCTTGGTCTGTGTCTTCTGTCCCATTCAACTTTTCAACTAGAGTTTCCTCATCAGTAACGCCGGCATCCTGAACAGCTTTTTGTGCCTCAAACACCTTTCGCTTTATTATCTCTGCCTCTTCCTCAGAGTCAATAAGTTGATCATCAGATTCCATTCTCATGTAACATCAAGTGATACCATGCGCAAACTCTTAAAAGAACTCCCACAAAAATCAACATGAAATCATGTCATTAAAACAGTGTAAGAACAGTTTCAAATTCCACTGTCGAAAGTGTGTTTACCAACAGGACCGACAGACGACATTTAGGTTAAGTGCAATGACAGCCTCCTGCGAATAACGCAAGCTTTTCTGCCGATACCGATAGTGTATTTGCAGCAGCATTTTAGCCTTGCCGGGAAAATTTAAATCGGGCGGGCACTGGCACACTGGCACTTCCCCTTTGTCTGCCCACGAGTAGCCACGACGAGTCTTTCCTCGCTGGGAAACATCGATTTGTTGACATTCAACGAGCTCTTGCTCTTATCGCGGCGAGTGACCAGTGTACGTTCATGCCGAAATTTGGCCTGGAGGGGGGAAATAAACAGCAGTCGGTCAGAGGAATCTTCCGCGCCGCGTCCCCGTCGGGCATCGTCGCAGCAAGTCGTAGTTTAACTCGCCCCCGGCCCACGTTTCCGAAGCGGCATGTTTCAATCGCCCCGGGGCCGGGCCGCGGCACGCGCCGCACATCCAGTGCAATGACCAAGCTTTTTACGGATTGACTAATTTCAATACTACACGCGGGTGCGCTATCGAACAGTCCACAGATAGGTTAGGTTAGGTTAGCCCATCTCCGTGTAGTATTTAATTAAATTAGTCAATCCGTAAAAAGCGCGTCGCTCTCACGACAGCGGGCGGCTCTTCGCCTTTCCCATTCACCCGGTGCGTCCCGTTGGTGCGACTATGCAGTGTGCCCGCCCCGCACCCCGCGGCGGGGGGCGGGGGCTGTAAACAGCTACTTGCCTAATTATCCGGCTGCAAACACGGCGGGGTATATATACGCGGCGGGCGGGTCTACCCCAGCATCCAGCACTCGACCGCCACCGCGAGATCACCTCGTCCGCGCCGCCAACCCTCTCACCGCCAACATGAACTCCCAGGTAAGGGAGTCCTCCAACAAGTGGGGAACGCGCGCCGCAGGCTGCTTCAGAGAGTCGCTTTCGTCGCGAGACAGAGCGACGGAAACGACTCTCGGAATCAGTCTTGAGCTGGTCGAGCCTCACTCATGCCCCGGGAACGCGCAGCACGGCACCGCCTGAGCCTTGTCCCTGTCTGGCCTGCTTAAGGTGGCCGCCCTCCTGCTCGTCGTCGTCCTGGCCGTGTGCTGCTGCTCCGCCGCCGTGGTCGAGTCCTCGGACGCCGACGTGACGCGGGACGACACCCGCAAGAGCCTGTTCCTAGCGCAGCTCGGCGCGGGCTTTGCCGCCGTCAAGGCCTTCTTCCTGGGCTAGAAGTGCCATGTTCATAGGTAAGCCTGCCGCTAGGCAACCCATCGGACGCGGCTGTGACGCAGGCGGCGCCATCCCCTTCTAATCGGGCCGTCTGTCTGTCCGCTCGCAGCCAGCTCCATCCACTTGGTCGGCGTCCTGGGCGAGGGCCTGCTGCCGCTGCTGCAGCGACTGGCCGTCGTGGTGCTCACCGTGCCCATCTCCCTGCCCGAGCCGCCGCACCTGCTACTGCCCCTCGCCCCGGGCCTGGACCCGTACCTCAGTCACGTGTAAATACTAATCTAGAAACAAATTAAAATCCTGTAAATACTACTTGTTGGATTGGATAGTTCTTTTCCCGCACAGTTCTCACTAAAACACCGTCGGTGAAAATTTCGCCATCAGCTTTTGGCAAAAAGCAAGGCTGCGACTGGACTCGGCGGGAGGAGAGACACGAAGACCGCGGCGCAAACGTCTAGTATCGAGACTCAGCAGTTGGTTCGCCGCGGCACCAGCCTGTCTCTCCCTCGCACTCGAGGGGCGCGCCTTACGGGTGGGAGAGAGACAGAGCAACGCACCCCGCTCGGAAGCAGCCGCAGCAGGTACTTCCGGCGTGGTCCGGTCTGTGTGTCGACTGCAAATAATTGCATTCGGTGCAGATTCGGCGCGCCAGGGGCAGGCAGGCAGGCAGGCAGGCAGGCAGGCAGGCAGGCAGGCTGGGGGAGGGGCGCTTAATATCGCATGACATCGCATTCCAGCGCCGGGTTAATGAAGTGAGAACAGCAACCCTCAATGGCCTGCTGGTGTAGCCGCACGGCGCGCCGTACAGTACTGCGCGGCTGCAGACTGATTCCGAGGGTCGTTTTCGTCGCTCTGTCTCCCTCGCACTCATGGGGTGTCCCGTAAAGGTGCGAGAGAGACAGAGCGAGTCAGCCTGCTGGTGTCGTCCGGGCCGTCGGCCGACGGAGGGGTGCGCAGGGCTGCGGGCACCGCGGTGCAGCTGTGTGCAGTGTATCGTGTCGCATTCCTAACGTGGTTGCGCCATCATGCCGGCTGGGATTTGATGCGCCCCAGAGGCGGGGCGGGGGCGCGGCGTGGGGCGGAGAGAGGACTTGATTTGCCAATGACTGTCCCCCGACGCCTCCCCCGGCGCCTGCGCGCCTGGCAGGCGACGGACGGGAATCACAGCGCAGCAGCTTCGGTGGACTGTGAAATTTTTCACGCTGTGAAAAAGTGACTGAAATAAACCAGATTTTGAATCTGAATCCCTCGAGACGCTTGACGGGAGGCTGGCCGTCGCCGTTGGGTCGTGGACGCCGACGCTGACGCCGACGACGCGCTGAGAGGAAGCGGTGGCCGGGCCTGCAGGACCTGCAGCAGAGAGTCGCAGCACGCGGACAAGGACAAGGTGGCGCCGGCGGGACGGACGGAGGGCCAGGTCGCGGGCTTACCCAGGTTGATCCCCGGAATCCCGGCGTAATCCCCCATCTCGGTATCTCCCGGCCGAGCCTGGGCCGAGCCTGGGCCGAGCCTGGCCGCATCTATAGGCCCGCTCCCCTTTCGGACCTCACCCCCACCCCCTCGACGCCGTCATCCCTGCACCCCGCGCACGCCCCACGGCCCCCAGCGAGGCTGAATCCGAGCGTCCTTTTCGTCGCTCTGTCTCTCTCACACTCATGGGGCGTCCCGTGTAGGTGGGAGGGAGACGGAGCGACGAAAACGACTCTCGGAACCGGCAGCCCCCGGCCCGCCGCCTATTACATGCTGTTGCCAGCCGACCGTAACCTCAAAACGTTGAGACCAGTTGCAATCTCAGCTAACCGGCTGGGGAGGCAGGCGGCGGGCGGGGCCGGCGGGGCACCAGCGAGGGCGGCAGGGAGGCAGGGGCGCGCGGGTCCTCGATGAGTAATCGTGCAACACACCCTCGAAACAGTCGCAACACGGCGCGGCGCGGCGAGGGGATGGAGCAGGAGGGAGGGAGGGAGGTTTACGCGCGCGCATTTTATTACCACGGCCCAGTGGAGGCGGCGCGGGGCCGCGGGGCTCGTGGGACCACTGCTAGCGCCGCGGCACGCCGGCACGCTCCTCCCGCGGGGGTAGCCAGCCAGCCAGCCAAGGGTAGCCACCCCCGAATGCCCTCTGACGCGCGGCGTCGCGGCGTCGCGGCGGCACGCGTGGCTGTGGATTCCAGTGGTGATTAGTTCGACACCCAGGCCGGGCCCGGCCAGGCCCGGTGCGTGTAAAGAGCCCCGCGCTGCCCCGCCACTACACTGCTCGGCGCCCCTCTGGCCGGCGAGCCCCTTTCGCCCAAACCACTATCGCCTTCGCCGGGGCCGCCCCGCCCGCCACGCCACGCCCCGCCACGCGCAACCCCCAGCGGGTAATGAATGCAGATTACCATGCAGGACACGGCTGGCGTGGCGGGGCGGGGCGTGGCGTGGCGGGGCGTGCCGGGGCGGGGCGGGGCGTATCGTACATCGCTGTGCTGCGCGCTGTGCGTTGCCGCGTTGCCCATTGACGCACAGCACCCCGCCACGCCGCCCCGGCGCACCCCGGCACAGCCGGCAGAGTTGCGGGTTATGATGTGACGCAAATCGCTGAGGCAGGGCCCAGGCAGGGCAAAGGAAGGGCAAAGGAAGGGCAGCCACCCGGCTCCGCCACCTCATGGTACCTTGTCACCTCGCCCCCGCACTGCAACACCACACCCACGCGCTTTTTTCCGCAAGCCCGCGCGCGCCTCCCTGCCAAGTTAAATAATACAAAACGAGATAAAAGTAAATAGGGCGAGGTGATGATGCACCCCCTCCTGCCCCCACCCCCGACAATCCCGCTGCAGCCTAGCGCCGGGAGAAAATGTAGATCCCGGTGGAAATCTTGTAGCAAATGCCTGGATCCGCGCCTAGCCGGCTGCCGCTGCTGCCGCTGCCGGGGCTCAGTCGGCACGAAGAGGAGGCACACCCACCCCACGGCCGGGGCCTTGGCTGCCTTGGCTGGGCGAGTCCGGGCCTTGGCAGTGCGATTCTGCCGGCCCGTAAAGTCAAGCCCCCATAACTAAGAAGCTTCCCCTCCCCGCCCGCCGTGCTTAGCTTACGTGCTAGAAACAATCCCCCGCCCCTCCCCCTCCCCTCGTCATATTTCTTTTCCTCCCCTGCTGCTCCGGCTCCCTCCGGCTCCCCGGTCCACGAGGCCGCGCCGGCGGCGCGGCGGCGCGGCGGATTCGGATTTTTCGGGGTTGTGGGCACATCTGGGGCCGTTTCGACGGCGGCGCTGGTCGCACCGGTCGCACTGGTCGCGCCGCTTCGCCGCTTCGGCGCGCCGATCGGTGCAGTTAAAGGAAGGCCGGCCATCAGTCACAACCTCCCCCACCCCACCCCACAAAAAACACGAAAAAAGAAAGAAAATACAAAACTCGCGTTAAATGTAATTTGAGTCGTGCACGTCCGGGGTATGGGTGAGGTACGGGGTATTGACTGTCAAACGCGCGTAAAAGAAGGGCCGCCGTCGATACTCCGCGCTCCGAGTTCTGCCGCAGCCACAAGCTTCGCGAGTCCCTGGCGCGCGGGGTATCCGCGATCCCACGTCTTCTTCAAGTACTCCCCTGCGATGCCGCGCCACTCTCCTGTCTCGCAGTCTCGCCACGCCGTGTTCGCCGTCGAGGCCGTCGAGGCCGTCGAGGCCGCTCGCGCACCCTTGGCCCCACTTGTGTGTGCACATGCTGGCTCGATGACGGTCGATGGCGGTCGGTGATAGTGATATGGACGCGAGGGTCATCGCATTGTCCGACAGGCCGGCCGCGGTGCCGCGGTGCGGTGGTGTGGTGGTTCAAGTGGCCGCGCCGCCGCGCCGTGCATGTCAGCCGAGCCATTCAGAAGAAGCGCTTCGCCACTCTGTCTCTGTCG